AGCCTTTTCTTGCTTTCTATAGGTTTGACCTTCCATCTGCCCCAAAGCTTTTTGGCTTCCCAGAATTTGTTGGCCCTTTTAGTGAAACATTCCTTCCCACTTGAATTAACCAATCTCACAAGTCCACGTAATGCTTCTTCTTCCTCCTTCTCCCCTCCTACCATACGAGCCTCCTTCCACAACCTTGCTTCAATGGAGGATGCTAGCCACACAGAGACAAAACTCCCCTCTGTTTTCTTTCTCCAATAAGAATCTCCACAACCATTTCCTTAGTAGTGTCAGGTTCCTATTCCTTATGTTCCCAATACCCAGACCTCCCTCCTTCTTACTCCTACACACCACCTCCCACTTAACCCTATAGTCCTTCTTCTCCTCCCCCGGCTCACAAAGAAAATCTCTCATTAGTTTTTCCAGCCTACTAGCCACTCTAACTGGAATCTTAAAGACTGATAAAAAATAGACATGAAGGTTAGCTAGGGTAGACCTAATTAGAGTTTTTGAAAACTTGTAATCAATGTAAAAGGAGAGATCACACTTGTCTCTATCTCGCACCTCTCCTAGGAATGCTTGAAAAAGTTTTATCCTATTGATTAATGAAACTTCCACTCAATTATCAAAAGAAAAATCAACTGGAAATAAGAAAACAATTTTTCTGGAGATTATCCATGCACCATAAGCACAGACAAGGAAAATATAATTGCTAACTACACTAATCAATGCATATTACTATCCAAACATATTGATCTAACTTCTAACAAGGCTTTCTACATCCCTCCCTATTTTTGATCTTAATGGAATTAGTTATCTTCCCTCAAATATATATATATATATATATATATATATATATATTTAAAACGCGAAGGCATGATACGAGGCGTTCCACTACCTAGAGGCATGAGGCGTAGTTCAGAACGCAAGAGGTGTAAGCCTCCTTAAGAGGATAGGGGTTAGGAGGAGGATGAAGAGGAAGGGGGGATATCATTTTTTCTTTATTTTTAATAAAAATATTTTATATTAAGAAGAATAAAGATGCATAGCATTAGTTGAAAGGGGGGGTCTTGTCGAAGCGGAGATATGGTATTGATGTATCTAAGAAAAGAAAGACTTCCAAGGGGAAAATATAGAAAATTGAATTTGAAGAAGTTCGGGCCATGCAAAACACTGAAAAAGATCAGCAACAATGCCTACATTATAGATCTATCAGATCACTTGCAAATTAGTCCGATCTTTAATGTTGCAGATTTGTCTTATTATGAAGGATTTGATGGAGATGAAGAAGTTGTAGTATCTGGAGTAGAGCATCTGCCAAAGAAACCACCTGAAGTTATTGAAGACATCCTAGATGTTAAGGAGGTTTGATCCCGTTGGAGAAATCAGTATCAAAGGGTCTTAGTGAAATGGCTAGGAAAGCCAGCAGCAGAAAGCACATGGATTACAGAAAAGGAGCTGAAACAACTTGATCCAGAGGATGTTTGCTGAATTCCAGCGAGCATACTCATCAGAGACAAGTTCTCACCCAGTAGATTGGTGCAGGAGCATGAAGGAGAATACAGCTCGTAGCACTGTAGTAGCACTGTTCACAGGATCCTGTAAAAGATTGCAGCCAGGGGTCTTTTGTTATTTCTTTTTTTCTATGAGGGTCCTTTTGTAATTTGGGTAGCTTAAATGTTTTATTGTCTTTGTTGTTAGTTTGTGACTTGGGCTGCAAGTTTCTTTAATGTGGCTTGCAAGGTAAGCTTCTTAGCTATTAACCTATATAAATAAAAGGGCAGATTTGTAAAGGGACTTTTAGCTTATTTTCAAGCCATACTATCAATTTGAAGGGCTTGTTATACAGCCTTATAGAACCTAACAAGAAATGTTCATATAACAATTCTAAGTTTCTACCAAGATGGCTAATCATGCTTTAGTATACCTGTAGACCACAATATAAAGCAAGCTCCAATTTGAGAGGCTTTGCAGGATTATGGGAGCCACAGGGTATAACCACAGCCCAACTGCAAATATTGGACATACTAGTCAGAACATATAAAGACAAATAATATAGACACATAAAAATCAGAGAAGGTTAATCTGCAATTGCAGATTCAAAGTCAAGATATTGCCAGTACTATCAAAACTCAAAAGAACTTCAAAATGACCAATCAATCAGCAAAGTAATATACTTTTTCCTAGATGGCCAAATCAGAAACCGTTGAACCCCAGATCTGGGTTTGAATCCCAACATCATCCACTGAACACTGTGCTTTATGATGAAGGGGTTGAAAGAAAAGTTCAATACAATCAGAAATCATACCCACATTTTTCGTGATACCCATTGAGGAGCTAATGCTTCAAGAAAGCCTGGTCCGTAAAGTTCCCTCAAGAAACCAGAGAAAAAGCATATATGGCTCTAAGAGAGCAACGAAATGGAAATAGCATTAGTTGAACAACAATAGGAACCTCACAAACTATAGCATCACTATTTTAAACTTCAATCGTACCTCAATTGTACGAACAACATTGCCATATCCCTTTGCTCTAGCTACTTCAAGTGGGGTCTGACAATCATCATTCATTATTAAAGGACTTGCTGGAATATGATGGAGGAATTCATTCAGTAAGAGAACCACAACAAATGACAGATGTGAGAACGGTTCCCACCCTAAAGGAACTAAATGTACATGCTTCCATCCCGTATATATATATCATCCATAGGAAGTTAAGAAAACACACCTCCATGGGAGAGAAGTAACTTCACCGTCTGGTCAAGGTTTCTTTTTGCTGCATGATGTAAGGGTGTCCCCGCGTGACTTCCTAAAATAATAAGAGAAAATGAAAAAGAAAAGTGTAATACTATACAGATTAACCAAATGACCTATATATATTAGAAGGAGAGAGGAAAGAAAGAGTAGCCCAACAAAGAATGACTTAGATAGAAACATGAGATTCTTACCAGGACGGTAAGCATTGACATTGGCGCCCAGTTCAATCAAAGTTTTAGCAACATTGAAAAGTTCAGAGTTCATACACGCAACAATCAGGGGAGTCTTTCCTTCTCTATCAACCCACTGCAACAAAAATCTAGTGAGACGCCACTTTGCAAAGACAAATAAATTAACATTTTACAAAGAGAACAGTCGCACAGCTTTACAACAAAATCATCCCCCATAAAAATATTGAAAGGGAATTCCGAGGTCAGATGCACTAAGCAGATGAAGAACCAAATTTCCAATTGAATTGATCAATAACATGAACTCAAAAGTTCACAGAATAGAAAGTAGCAATTTCCAATACCTCAAGGCCTGCACCTTCTCCTCGAAGAGACTTGATTCCTTCTGTGTTTGCATAATTGACCTGCTGATAAAGCAGCTCCTCCTTGGATTGCTGTTGACCCATTTCTTTTCTTCCACCACAAAACTAAAACTAGACGTAAAAATCAAGAAATAACAAAATCTTCCTCCCCAAACGACCTTAAAAGATGAAGAGACAATAAAATAAAATCCAGAGCAGCATCAACATTAAGATGCCTTACATGATGAAGAATTCAATATCAAGAAGCGAAAAAAAAAATAATAACAAAATCTCTACAAAAATTTTCCAAAATCCTGAAACAGAAACAGAAGAAAAAAAAATGCTTCTCTTTTATTCAACCCCAAAGAGGAAACCGAACCTCTTAAGGCCAGAAAGGAGATGCCGTTCCCTTTGTAAAATAACGATACCGATGAATCCCGAGTAGCTTTTAAGAAGCACAACAGAGATTCGTAGGTAGAGAAGGGATGTGAAGTCTGTTTCTGTCTCTGGCTTTCCAGGACGACGCTTGTATGTGAACCTCCCAAGTTCTTTGATTTTTCTGTTACTATAACTACTACGCGGGATTCGATCCGCCAACGGATGGTTTCTGGTGTTTTGTCTATGGGTAAATTACATAAAGCCACCCTGTATTTAAGGGAAAATGACACTTAGCCCTCCGAACTTCTTTTTGAGACAAAAAAATCCTAAGCCTGAGCTCGAAGATTTTAGCACTTTGTTGCAACCGTTAACATTCAATTAACTTTCTTCATGCTCAACTTTCTTTTGACAAAATTCATCTTGACAATGCCTTGAACGGACTGGTTCATTAATGCTTTGAGAGAGATTAAGATTTGTACTCTAATGGTTATTTTTATCATTTTTGTGTTTGTTGCCAATCAGTTGTATTTACCACCAACTTTATTAATGAATTAAGGGCAAAATACTAAAATTTAATAGTTTGGGGGGCATTTGTCCCAAAATAAAGTTGGAGCCTTGGAGGCAGTATTTATAGAGATGGCAATGTGGACCCTTCCACGAGAGACCCCACGCTGTGCTGATTTTTTGTTTTTGGGTAATTCCATCAGGAAGATAAGAAGACAAAAACAGAACAAACAAACTAAAAAAACACAAAGGCAAATCAACCTAGGAAGAAACAAACACTAGGGTGGCTTCCACAAAGCCACGTTTGAAAATTCAGAATCTTCTTTCATCTGAGTGACTAACCACCCCGGAGGGCTAGTCCACCTGTGCTTCCAGCCTTGTTTGCCTTTCTTTGCCAACTCATGAGCAGCAGTATTCCCTGATCTGTTAATAAACCTGAAAGCCAATTTGAACATTTGCTATAAGCATACAAACTTGTAACAGAGGCCACAACTGAGGGTCACACTCAAAAGATTTCTGGCTTAACATGTTAACTAGTGAATGACCCCGTATTAAGTATGGGGAATTAGTAATGTTAAATTTATATTATTGAATCAATAATGTTAAATTTACATTATGGAAGTAATAATGTTAAATTTATATCTATTAATATTTTAAATAATTATTAAAATTTTAAAAAATATTTATTTCAAAAAATAGTTTTTCAATAATTATTAGAATATGGATAGTTTTCTTTTGTTATGACCCATATGGGGTTAATGATTTATTGAAATTGATAGAATGTAGGCACAAATGCTTGTGGATAACCATTTTTGTATTTTCTGCATTTTTTAGTAATGGATTCAAAATGGTGGTAGTGGGTTGTGGGGTTTAGTAGCAACTACTCAGAAAATGCCATGTGTCTAACTTTCCAAAAATATGAGAAGCCATGTGTCTAAATGGTGAAGGGCTGTAGCCTGGTAGTGGGCTGTGGGCTTTAGTATAAATTTATCAACAGCATTCCACAATAGCAGAGATTCTTGAAAATTCAACTGACACTGATTTACAAATACCACAACCAGCTAAAAAAAATGACCCGAATTCACTTAAAATCTAAAAACCATAACCCCCTTAACCATTTATGCAAAAACTTCTATAAGTTCTTACTAAGCACTAATCTGACCCAATATTTTCCTTTTCAGTATCTATAGAGCCAACTGCTTTAACCTGTAAAAAATCTGTTGATTCTTGATGAGAAGCTCTCCACAATTCCTTTATCATCCTGTTTGCAAGCAAAAGAGTTAAATAGGGATTAGGCTGAGTAGATTCATAAACCGACTTGTTTCTTGCAATCCAAATATTCCATATAATGATAATCTTCTTCCATGACTTAGGGTCCATCTCATCTTGACTTGCATTGCTCAAATGGTTTTCTTGTAGAGTTGTGGTTAAGTGGTATGCAGACTTCATTGAGAATTTCCCTTTGCTGTCCAGGGTCCAAATCAACTTATTTTCCCCTCCAGATTTAGGCAAAACTATGCTGATTATGTGATTTACCATGGCTTGGTTAAATAAACTTTGCAATTTTCGAACTTTCCAACTATTATTCTAAGGATCAATTAAGTCACTCACTAGTTCAGCATTTTTAGTTATGGGTCTTGGACCCATAGGTTTAAAATTTGGTCATCCCAAATCTGATGATTTTCCCCATTCTCATTGAACCAATAAGCCCCCTCTTTCAAAATGTCTCTTCCAGCTAAACGGCTTCTGAAACCCCAATAACAGTTTTTTGGGACCTAAACTCCCCAAAAACTTGTCCTTCTCAAATATCTACCTTGCACTATTTGCACCCATAGGCTATCCTTGCATACACAAAACCTCCAAGCTAATTTGGTTAGGAGAGCCAAACTAAACTTGTAGGGATCTTTGAATCCTAAACCTCCCAAAGACTTGCCCATACAAATCTTTTCCCATCTGATCCAATTTACTTTCTTATGATTTTTTTATTCTCCACACATTAATTATTTTTGCAAGTTTCCTAAGTGCTAATATCTTTTGGAAGCAGGAAACAAGACATAGCATAAGAGGGGATAGCAATCAAAACTGCTTTAATCAAGACTTCTTTTCCTACAGGGGAGAGAAAAGAAACCTTCCACCCACTTACTTTGCTTTCCATTTTTTCTCCCAAAAACTTGAAAATACTTTTTTTGACCTACCATACACTGGGGGGAGCCCTAAATACTTGGATGGGTGACTAACTTTCTTGATACTCATCAGTCTTGTCAATTTTTTTTTTTTTGAAATTGCAGAATTAAATTTCAGATTTTGAGAAAATGTAGAAGTCATCTACAAAAAACAAATGGGTGACAACATGGCTATTGTGATTAACTCTTATTCCTAAGATAGATCCTTCCACCAAATGGGCTTTCTTAATGGCTAGGGAGAGGACTCCAGATACTTTTAAGAACAGATATGGAGATAAAGGATCTCCTTGTCTGAGCCCTTTAGTAGGCTTGAATTCACTACTTGGGCTCCCATTTATCAATAGTTGGAAAGAGGTAGATGTATGCAAGCCATATCCAATTTATGAAATTTTCCCCGAATCCCAGTTTTTCCATAGCCTTTTTAATGAAAATCCATTCCACTCTATCATATGCTTTGTTCATATCTGCTATAAACTTTTGTTTTGACTTTGTTGTTTTCATGAAGTGAATTAATTCATGTGAGACACAAAACATTATCAAAGATCATTCTTCCTGGCACAAAAAGTAGTCTGGTTTTGACTAACTACTTTTGGTAGAATGGTTTTCAGTCTATTCACTAAAACCATAGCTTTGGTTTTATAAATCGTGTTGCACAAACTAATTGGTCTAAAATGTGTTGCATCCTTTGGGTTTCTGCATTTTGGAATCACATCAGTGTATGTTTTATTGATTTCTTCATGAAGCACCCTGTAGACACCCCATTTTTGCGCTCTTGAGTCTTTCTGCAGCACTTTGAGCTTCAAGTATGCTTCAGCTAACATCTCAGCCAACCAAGGGTTATTTTTGGAATTTTATAAAAGTTGGGCCCCAAGGATCCAAGACCATAGGTACGTAGAGCCTAGAAAACCAAACCCAATGACACCAATAACACCCAAATCCAACACTATTTACCCCTTCATCTTTAAACCTAAAGCCGGAAAGAAGATCATCATATGGATGGCCGAACCATATAGGGTGGCTGGGGAAATTTTCAAAAATTTTATTTCTCCCTTCCGAAAATTGTATTCCCTGTTTTAGAAAAACTGCATTTTTCAAGATTTGTTCTTGAAACAAACCGAACCAGATTTGAAACCAAAAAAAAAAAGAAAGAGCTATACTTGATACGGAAGCCACAAGCGTAGCTCCCAACGTAGGTGTTCAGGCCCAAAGAGGTCACCAAATCCCGCCTCCACTGAAAATGACATAGCTTGAGATGAAGCAGGATTAGCAAAGCAGTTCTTCAACAAGAACTGCAATCCTTTAACAATAATCATGTAAGGGAGTGTAAGCATGATTCATATATGATTTTTCTAGCAAAAATCAGAATCAAGATCTAATCTTGATCGATCTAAGAGTTGGAGATCGAACAGGGTAGGGCGGCAAGAACAGAGGGAGAAAACTAATTGTAGTAAAAGTGCTAAACTAAAGGAATTCGCCCTCTATTTATAGTCTTTCAAGATCAGCTTCCTAATCATATCAGGAAAGAGTTATCTTATTCCCTTGCTGAACTCTTAAGTGGATAAGACTTATCTTATTCCCTTGCTGATCCAAATTTAGATCTAAACCCATATTCACCCATATTAATTAAATCATATTAACCCAGTTCGAAATGGGCTTTAGGCCCATTAAGTTTTTAGGCTCACTTCCCTTTTAATTGTTGGCTGACTTGGCTCTCTTTGTATGGCATGGGACCCTAACATTGATCTTCACAAAAGCTATATGGGTTGCCCAGCCTTTGTTACAAGGCCTGGCCGAATTTACTGCTAAACACAGTGAACCCCTAATCCCATCAGCATGGGCTCTTCGCAGGCCCAACATTTCAGAGAAAGTGTTGTCCCCGATCATTCACTTTGTCTAACAAAGGAGTTGATTCTGTCACTATGATCACCCACTCAGGTGAATTCTCAGACTGCTCCAACATACCTAGGTTTTGACCCCCGCTAAGGATCTCACTAATTAGCATATCAAAAACAGTCCGATCCAACACCTAGTGCAGTACCATAATCGAGTCTAGGGGTTAAGTGTAACTTTCCAGTTTTGCCCATCTGTCTCCAAGGTCTAGGGCATAACTAGAAAATGGTCAAGTTCAGAGTTTCAAGCAAACCCACACTACATGTGCTTCGGGTCTCACCTTGGCAGCTGAGACAAGTTACCCCAACCGACTTGGCAGCACATTAGTGTCAGCCTTGATAGAATAAACCTCCACAGGTTTATCCAACGTCTGTGAACATTCTAAACTAACACGAGTCTCATAAGTGTCCAGTTTAAGGGTAATACACAGAAACATACAAGATATAACATGAATCAATTATGTACTTTTATTCATTTATAATAAATGTCAAAATGTACATCAAACTGATTGGAGCTAAAGGTATACACTGTCTAACACAATTGGAGTCATTTTGACCCTAAACCTCATTTTACACCAAATTAGAAATCCAAAACCATAGGTACATAGATCCAAAAAATCCAAAT